AAAAAAAAAGACTGTCTTAGAAAACCAAATCCAAATAAATCAAATAAGCAAACAAAAACAAGAGTATGAAGACAGTTTTTGTTTGCCCTAATGGAAGGAAAGCTAATTTAAAATACATGTGTATTGGTTGAGGGTGTGATTCAGTGGCAAACTGCTTGCCTAGGATGTGGAAGGGTCTTGGTTCAGTCCCTAGCACTGAAATGTAAATGTATAGGGACAGGCATGGCATAGCTATGTGGAAGGATATGTGTTTTATATACACACATACATGTGGATGTCTCTAAAAGGGGAAAAGCATGGCTAACTGGTAAAGGGACCAGTCTAGGGTGAGAAAGGGATTTGGGCACAAGTCATAACTTTTTCCTCTTTTAGGGAAAAGTTCTACATCTACTTCTACATCTCAATCTCAGTGAAGCAAAGCTAATCAAATTCTGGAGCACCTACAAATCCCTCTCTCAATACACTCAAAAGCAGTGGAACTTGGTTAGTGCTGAATGGAAAGTCTGATTAGACAGTCTAGAAACCATCGAACTTTGAATCTTTTCCCAGTTTACAACTATGAGCTGGGTGACTTTGGGCAAATCACTTTGTTTCTCTAGGTCTCTGTTTTAACATTTATGAGGTGATGAGATTTGACTAGATTTCTCGCTGTAAGCAAAAACTAGACATGTACAGGAAAAGAAAAAATTGTTTGGCTCTCTCTTTCCTTTGTGGTTTGCTTTGAATTGTGGTGAAAATGCTACTAAGTTTCTAGGCTGTTTTATGCTGTGCTTTAGTACACAAGCACTGCCCTCAACCCGATCTCTGCAATTTATTTTTACCCACCAAAAACACAGTCTACAACCAGGAAACTCAAACTACTTATACTGTGTGGCACTTCGCTTTGTTCACACCATCTTCTCCACCTCCCACAATCCGTGTACTTATTTAAAAATATTAAAGTGCTAAGGGGCTAAAGTGCTAAGGGGCTGAGACCACTTATAGAGTACATGCTTTAATACGTGGGAGGCCCTGGGTTTGATCTCCAGCACTGAACAACAAGTTTTAGTTTTCACTTTCCCTAAATATCATCTCAATGAAGTTTTCCAAGAAGATTCCTTCACAAAGCATGTGGATACTGTCTCATTCTTCTTTCTATCTCCTCACCAGGTGACCTGCTTCTGGGAGCAGAGATCTGCTCCCCTTATCTTCTGTATGACCCACAAACACTGTCAGGGGGCATACCAGGAGAGGGCGATGTGGTGCAGAAATGTGGTGTAGGGCTGCATCTAAATATCTGTGCCTTTTGAGCAAGTTACTTAAATTTGCTAAGCTTTCTTGTTCTCCTCTATAAAATGGGCGATTAAGTCTTGTTTCATTATAATTGCTATAAAGAAAAAATAAAAGTGGTGTAATATTGGCACTTTTAGCAGCAAATGCTCACTGACTTAATTTGTGGATGTAGATGTTAGTTAAGTGTGAATGACTTACAAAATCCAATCTATAGTTATTATAAATGGAAATTTTTCTATACCTAATCATGATATTAAAATGCTTTTTTTTTGTTTTTCCCTCAATTGTGTCAAAGCCAGGATAGAGGGAAAAGTCTACTGGATTGCACAGACAGTCCTGCCCACAAAGGCTGGAGCCTGGCAGATGCTTTCCTCTCCTCATTTCTGCCCGAGAAGGAAAACCCTTTATAAGGTTCACATTGCAGAACCTACGGTTTTGAGGCAGGGGCAGTTGATAACAATTATTGATGTGAAGTAACTTTAAAATTGCCTTTATTCAAATTTCCCAAAAATCAATAATATTCTGATGACTTTTAAAATGTAGTATCAAAACAATCAAATCTTACTGAGGGAAAGTCTTCAGTACAAGTCTTGAGTTCTCTGTATGATATGTATCAACTGAATTAAAGTTAATAAAGTACATCAGAAAATAAATCCTAAGATATAGTTTTATGTGGAGCTTATAAAGTACCCCTTTTTCTGATCATACATAAGCATATTTTCTTGTCTATTTATCCCATTTTCTTTTTATGCAGATCATGGCTACAGTCATATTGGGTGATGATGGGATACTTATCCAATGTCTCACGTCCACACTCAATTTAAAACACACCTTTTGGCTGGGTATACTAATCCTGTAGCATTTACTTCTTATATCTTACATAATTATTTTATCACACATTCCTTTATGCTCTGAATAGCTACACTATTAATATATCTGATGGTGGCAGTGAGCTGGAACAGATGGGTATTTCTATGGTTTGAATGTTCCCACCAAAGCTCATATTGCAATTTCATCCTCACTCTAAGGTAATAAAAGGTGGGACCAGGTGGTGAGAGGGACACACGAGTGTTCACTAAACTAGCTTTTATAACACATATATTCTCAAGCTAACGCACTAATCCATGAATGAATTAATCCATTCATAAGAGCAGAGAACTGATAGCCTAGGCTCTCTTAAAGGTTCCACTGGCCCTTGTACTATCTGGGACTCTGTAGAGTCTCCAACAGCAAGAAGCCCTTACCAGATATAGCCCCTAAAATGGATGTTCTAGAACCCTGAGCTGAATAAACTTGTATTTATAAACTACTTGACCTGAGATAGCAACAGAAAATGCACTAAGATAACATGCATCTTAAAATGTGAATTAAAAATCATTTCTTTCCCATAATCTGGTTTCTTTAGGATCAACCTTAATTTGTCTGGGGCTGGGAACATTGGTTTCTAGAACATCTCAGAAGTTGACAGATTAATCTCTCTGTGGGCTTTTAAATGATGTTGAATTCTTCACTGAAAAAATCAACTCCTCATTCTTCATAATATATTTGCTGAACTCAGGAATTAACACCTGATTTATTCAGGCTATGTTTACATAACCTTCTCTTTTGTTCAGATGAAAAGATTGCCAGGATTCTCCAACATCTGTGGGAATGGAATAAAGGCAATCTAAATCTGATAGCGTTTGTAAAAGTTATTACTACTTGCTGCCCCCTTTCCCTTCCAAATTCCATAAACATTAATATATAATGAATATTAAAATATGGTAACTTAATAATAAAGCATTAGAAACAAAACTAAAACCACAAACAATAGTCAAGTAAAGATGGGTGATGATTGAGTCTCCTTTTATTATTTTAAAATCAATGGTCAATGAAGACCCTCAGGTTTCCTTTTTTTTTTTTTATAACCATACTACTAAGTCTTTGTTAATTTATCAAACAGAATAGTTTGTACTGTCATTATTTGTCTGTCTACTTTTTATGCTTTGATTTTGTAACTTGAACATCAAGCTTCCTTCTTGATGTATAATGTTATTGTAGCTTTAGCCTCACATAAACAATCAATGTCAAATAATATTTATGAAACATATGTGCAAAGTTAAGAGAGAAAAATTAGAATACATTGCTGGATGTGCTATGTATTCTAATTTTTCTCTCTTAACTTTGAATACATAGCACATCCAGCTATGTATTCTAATTTTATTATTTCTAATATTATCCTTGGTATTAACCTGTGCAAAATTATAGTGGTAGATTTTCAGTATACCCATTCTAAGTCATCATAAAATTGATTATAAAATATAACAAGTATCTATTAAGCACATTTTTATGCTTTCTCAATTAACAAGGAACATAACAGAAGCAAAAAGTACAATTTCTCCTAAAATGACTGGTTTTGGATACACTTTAGTTTTTTGGATCCTCACCATCATTGTCACCCCTTTTACAGAGGGAGTGATCTTGAATTGCAAGCAACATCTAGTTCTCAAGTTTTATGTTAACATGTTCTGCAGCTAAAAGACCATGTTTACATTCAAGATGCATTCATAAATACCAATTTTTTCATGAATGTATAAATAGATGGGATAATTACCATGGCAACCAAAAACATCAGGTCAAATACTTGGCTGGCAAATGTCTTAGTGATATTTCAAATTTTTTTTTTTTTTTTTTTTACATAGCTGAGATAAACAGGCAGGAGAATGTTCTGTAGCCTGGAAATGGTTCAGTAGTGACCTCCTAACAGTTTTTTACAATTCTAAGATCCATTAACTACCAGAAGCCAGAACAAAGCACAGTGAATGTTACACAAACCTTGCTATGCCTCCAGAAATAATAATACAACCAATACCAGGAGGAAAAAGAAAATCTTAAATTGCAGGCACTGAAAAAAATCAAATCATTTCTTAAGAGAAATAAGCCCATTAATAATTTACTTATAAAAAAGCCAGAACAACAAGAAGAATGTGTAATAGAGGTAGGTCACTATCTTGAGAAAAGAAACCTAATCTTTGGGAAAATGTCTTGAATTTTCAAACATTTGAATTAAATTCATTATGTTATATTTTAATGTGCAGTAAAATCTCTCTGGGAATATCACTACAGAAGAGTGAAATTAATTATGATTAGAGGATCAGTCAAATGGCTTGCAAAACAAAACAAGATCACTTGCAACACACTAATATAGGGCATATTCTGTATAGGTCAGTCTTCACCAAAACACATAATAAATACCGATTTCAAAAACATCACTGAGGTGGCAGGTACAGAAGCTTAGGACATATGCTTGATCCAAAAAGAACAGTTTTAGATACATACATATATATATATAAAACCTAATCAATATCTAAATCAAGGTATATTTAAAATTACATGAGGAAAATGAATTTGACACATATTATATTAATTGACTTCTTAACTGCTGATTCCTTCAACACCACTGTTTAGGCCAGTAGCAGTCTATTCTTTAGAGATACCTGGCCTCAAGGTTGTCCAAAGTATGCATGCTTGTTGTGCCCATGCTATCCTGTGTCCATCTTCTCCTCTCTCTTAACATCAATATGCATACTGAATTAGAAGAGGAACCTGAAGACCAAGTTATTCTGGACCAAAATGTGAAAAAGCAGGCCTGATCACAGGATCACAAATGATGATGAGAAATATCACCCTCATGGGCAAGAAAGTTTCTCCCCTCTAGAGCGCTTATCTAGGAACACACAATAACTTACCTCAGGAAGTGCTTCATTGTGCCTTGTTGACTTCAGGTGTTACGCAAACTGTCCTCAAGTAATTGATTCTAAATTTGTCTTTGTCGAAGCAAATATAGGCTGTGGGAAGAATTAGATACATTTACTAATAAGGTGACTGAACATCTAAGACCAAATATATCTCTTTACTGAGGCAAACAAACAATTGGATACACATCCAAAACACCATCAATGGAACAGGAAAATCCACCTCGATATAGGTGACAGTTACAGCCTTTCACTTTATAACCATACAATTTGCCTGCTACTTTAAGTCACTTGCTGGAAAAAGTATTAGTTCGTGAGCTCCAGTAGGAAGCTTTTTTCTATTTGGGTATTGTTATTGTATGGTATTTGTAAGAAAAATAAAAGTGAAGAGTAGATACATATAGTAGTCTTAAATTTGATAGCCTAAAACGTCCAAAATTATAATTCAAAAAGGACTAGACATGTGTTCAATATTTCCAGCCATTAGACAAATGCAAAATTAAACAACACCGAAATTCTATTTACTCCAGAAACTACAGCTAATACCAAGAAGTCAAATAATAACAAGTTCTAGAAAGGCTGTGGAGAAAAATGAACATTTCTATACTATGGTGCAAATATAAACTTGTACAACCATTATGGAAATCAGAATAAAGATTCCTCAAAAAACTAAAGCCAGAAATTTCATTTGACCCAGCTATTCCTGAAAAAGTCAAAGTCACTACATTACATGTGTAGATACATAGCCATGTTTATAGCAGCATAATACATAACACCTTGGAAACAGCCTGTATGTTCATCAAAAGATGAATGGATGAAGCAAATATGATTATGCACAACAGAGTACTACTCTGCCATAATGAAAGACCAACTTGAGTCATTTGCAGGAAAATGGATGTATCTTGAGATGACAATGTTAAGTGAAATAAGTCAGACACAAACTTAAATATTGCATCGTTTCTCTAATATGAGAAACCCAAGTTACAAATAAAGAGCAAAATAAAAGGAAGTAGGGAGATAGATCTTTCTCAAAGGGAAAGGAGATCAAGTAATGGAAGTAGAGAGAAGTGAGAGGAGGGTAAGGGAATGAAACAAGGAATCGAAATTTGTTATCTACAGGTACCAACTGCACACAAGGAGGGTCATTATGTACCGCACACATGTAGCAATAAAATTTTTTGAAAGATTAAAAAAGAGGTAGGGCCAGGGATACAAAATACCCAACATCCAAATTTAAGGAAAGAAAGGTTTATTTAGCTCACAGTTTGTGGAGATTTCAGTCCCCAATCAGCTGGTTGCAAGGCACAGTTGTGTGGCAAAGAGCAACAGTTCATGGTGGCAAAAGACAGCAAAAGCAAGGACAGCAAAAAGTGGAGGAACAAGCTTCTTTTCCTCCCATATATTGTGTGCAAACCTCCCACCCAAGAGTGAGTATAGCACTCAATGCCCCAATCCCAGCACTAGACAATGAACAAATCACCAACTCTAGATTTAGTAGTCTCCAAAAAGCTCCTCACCCATGACTACAGGAGGCTTTGTGGGGACATCCAGACACAAACCACAACAAATCATCTGAGCAACAAAAATAAAGTGGTACTAGAATATAGCTCTAAGTATGACAAATATTCATGGTTCTACACTGATATAAGTGAATGAATGAGTAAATAAATAAATAAATAAGTAAATAGAGAATATATATCTCCCACACCCTCCCCCAAAATACTCTGCCTTCAGGATGGTGAAATACTTTGCCCTCAGGGTGATGAAATGTAACTCTTTACCTCTTAAATGTAGGTAATGACTTTCTGAGTACAGAATGGAAAGAGACAAAAAAGACAGTTGTAGTTAAATTATTTGACAAACATCACCTTATCCAGGTAATGATAGTTAATATCACCAGTCACATTGACAGCAGGTGTCTTAGTTACTTTTCTTGGAGCTGAGACTAAATACCTGATATATCCAAAATTAAAAGAGGAAAGATTTGGCTCACAGTTTGTAGAGGTTTCAGTTTACAATTAGCTAGCTCCAAGACAGGGCAATGGCAGAGGGACATCAGGAGGAAAAACAGTTCACAGTAGGCAGAAGGCAGAAGACAGCAAAGTGGCAAGTCACAGTGACCCTCTTTCTGTCCCTTAGATTCTTTTCAGGCTCTCTACTCTTAGGGCAGGTAGCACTCACACGCAGGAAGGGCCTTCTCATTATCTACTCCCAGAACTATGCCAAACCAATCAGTGGACTAATTCAGGAATCTCACACTCTTAATTCCAGCATCACGTACTTCAGATCCAGCCACCTCTGAGAAGCCTCACCTATGACTACATGGGGCTTTGGGGAGGCATCTAGATATATCCAGGCAAGCCATAACAACATATAATTATGATATGACATGATATATAGTAAAATGGTATTTTTATCTCTGTGATCATCCTCTCCTAAACCGAGACACTCAGTTTAATCCTCAGAAAACAGGCATATCCCAGTTGGCAGGCATTCTACAAAATATCTACTAATTCTCAACACTCAAAATAATTAAAAAACAAAAATAAACAAAAAAATTTTGAGGAACTCTCCAATCTAATAAGTCTATACATAAGGAGATATGATCAATAAATATGTTATAGTATTCTGGATCAAATCCTGGAATAGAATAAGATAAAAATTATGGAAATCTGAATCAAATGTGGATGTTATAGTTGACACATTGTGTCACCTTGCGAAGTTTAGAAGTTTAACTAAGAGACTCAGTAGTGAGTCAGGATCTTTAATTACCTTATCCTGTGCAAGAGGAAGGCACAGATATTTTGTGAGTGCTAGGTCTTCCCTGGGGGGGAGGTGGCCTACATACATTATAAGGGAGGAAAAGAGGTTTGCTTTTCCCTCTTTATGCTTTGGCTGCTTTTGATGGCTGCTGCCTTGAAATGCTGCCCTGCTACCATGCCACCCTGCCTTGGAGCCAGCTCACTATGGACTGAAACTTCCAAAAACTGTAAGTTAAATAAATCTTTCCTTCTTTAATTTTGGGTGTTGGGTATTAAGTCCTAGCAATGACAGAAAAGTAACCAAGACAGTGGATTTTGGTTAATAGTAAGGATCAATAATTGTGCATTAATTGTGGCAAACATACCGTATAAATGTAAATAACATGGGAATTTAGGTACAAATATAAGGGAACTCTGTACAATTTTTGTAACTTTTTCATAAATCTAAAACTATTCCAAATTAGAAACATTTATTTAAATGCATTAATACCTATAGGCTCTAGACACAGAATTAGCACAATGGGTGAACTAGAAAGGCATGGCTCTATCCTTTGGGCTCAATAGTCTTGGGGAGAAGAAGAAAGAAGATGATACAGAAAAAGTAAATGCATCCTTAGACACAGTATTAAAGTGGAAGTGAATGCTGTGATGTGGAGTAGCAGAGATGGCTATCCCGGGTATAGACATGCAGGTGGCCCCTAGAACAGACATGCCAAGCCCTTGGAGCAAAAAAAGCTTAAATTAGAATTCTCATATCACTAAGGTATTGAAGAATGGATTACATTTTTAAAAATTTTATCAGAATTTTAAAAATTACCCTTAGTTACTTGCAATTAACTAGAAATTGGTTTTCTTGAAAAATCTCATTTTGTAATGATGTGGGCTAAGTGAAATGGCACAATACTAAAGCTTCTTTTTCTTTACATAGTAGCTCCTGAATTTATTCATAGAAAGAAACATCGCAAATGTTCATATGTCCAGCTTTGTGCTTGGTAATGCAACATGGCTCAAGACTATGAGAAAACATCTGGCAAATGTGGCAGGCAGTATGCATGGCAGCGATGCGCATCCATGTGGGAGACAGTTTAATAGCTCACTTCTATCACTAGCCGACTGGCAGCCTTAGATAGCTGCTTAACTTCTAAAGGATGAAAAAAGGAGAGTAGTAACTACCCTGTAAGGTTGTTCTAAGGCTTAAATGGGCCAAAGCAGACAAGGTGCTTAGCACAGACTTCCCATGCTGTTCAGGTATGTAATGGGCACTTGGTGAGTGAGTGATCACTGGTATTTTGTCATTCTTATTATATCCTTCTCTAAAGTAAAAATCATCTTGTCAAAAATCACTTAGGAGAATATTAAAATACAATTTGGCAAGTTGATGTGACCTGAACGGAGACAACCTCAGTGGTGAGAGAGAGAAGAGAACAGAGGTGAAAAATATTTAGAAGGTGCCATCAACTGAAATTTCTGATTGGATGGGAAGTGAAGGGAAAAAAAACAGCCATTAGCTTTAAGTATCTGTCCTCTAAACAGGAAACAAAGATAACAATTAGGGCTAATTTATCTGTCTCCCAAAGGGGAAATACCAAAGATGGCTTCAGATAGTAAAAGAAAGCCTGTGAGAATGCTACTTAAAAGCTATTTAAATCTTTGTGTATGGGAACACATTACATACTTTGCTAAATGTTTTATATGGAAAAACAAAAAAATTTTGCAACAAAATCATTGCTTATTTATGTTTTAAAGAAGGTGCACTAGTGTCCTATTTTCTGTTAGACCATCTGCATTATAACAACCACATTTGATGTGCCATACATGATATTCTGATCCACTATTGCTAAAAAATAATTTTTGAGCTATTTTTCCATGAATGGCTCTGTATGAATCTATTTCTGTGTACCAGTTCACCTTTGTAGGCAAATTAGTATTTCTCCAAGGAGCTAGACAGGGCCTAATGATGAGGGAAATCTAAGTCTCTTCTTATCTGCACAGTACTCTAATAATAATGTGGCCACATAGTGTTTTTGAGTATTTTTATGCACTAACTCATTTACTTAACCAAATGTAAACCACTTGCCTGGTTTAGATCTGTTTCACTAATTGAAATACATAGATACTAAATTTTGATTGTTTAACTCAGAAATTTGCGTATTTTTATGCACCAACTCATTTACTTAGTTAAATGTAAACCACTTGCCTGGTTTAGGTCTGTTTCACTAATTGAAATACATAGATATTAAATTTTGATTGTTTAACTCAGAAAAAATATGCTACTTTTCTGGTCAGACTTTAATCCCATTTGTTTCATGAGACTCAGGGAAAATATGAAAG